AAGCTAACTTGTTTCTGTCTGTTTTCTATCCATGTGATAAGCTACGCTAACTGTTTTCTGTCTTTGTGCTAAGCTCACTGTGTTCCCTCTATTTGCTAAGCTAACTGTTTTCTGTCCATGTGCTAAGCTAAGCTAACACATCCAGCCCTAAGTGTTATTGATCTTTTTTAGTGATACATTTTACAATTATATTTCCCAAATGTTTTACCTACTCCTTCAATGACCAAAACCCCCAAATGTTACCACCAACAACAGTAAAAACAAATACTCATTAATCTTCGAATATGGCCAGAAAAACCACAAAATAAATGTTAGAAGAGGCAGAACTTCAGCTCTCTATTGTATTAATAGATATTTTCGAGTCATGCTGCCCACATGTGGACGCAATGCTGATTATAAGCTGTGGTATGAGCGTGTCATAATCATAGATATTCAGTATTAGTGTAGTGTTAATACTAGCCTTATTAATCTTCTTGGTATTAGGACATTTAGAGATGTCAGAAATACTTTGCTGCACAGTGACGCCTAAAAATCTGACATGTAGTGCTTCTTTTTTTTTTTTTCTTCAGTAATCAAACTACTAGATTATTGTGGTTAAAAAAAAATTTCCAGCGTAAAAGAAAAAGGAAGCCAGAGCTTTAAAAAAAAAAAAAAAAAAAAGGGGATGTTGGTGGACACGCAGATTTGTAAGGGTTCATTAATAATGCTGTCAGTACCACAGGCTCTCCAATTAGTGCACAGTGAGGAGGGGGGTATACAAAAATAATGGAATGAAAGACAACAAAAAAATGTACAATCAGACGAGCTGCCCACCCTGCAGAGAGGAGCAGAATTTAAACTCCGACACCCAAAGTAAAAATAAAAAAAGCACAATATTACGTTTTTTTTTTTTGTGTATATCCTACATCCAGCTCGATAGCGACATTACGAGATCAATATATTTTTTTATAATCATTTTTAAGGTACCTCTTATATTTTTCTGAGTATTTACAACTGTACAAGCAAAGCACACACTTCAAAGTGCACACATTTAATACAGTATTGACTAGTTTTGCATTTACAAGGTTTTATGTTTTTTTTTCCCCCCTCAAAAAAAAAAAAAAAAAACCTACAAGAAAAAAAGGACTTGTAAATTTTACAAAAACAAAAAAGGGTAAAAATAAAATAAAACGCTGCTTGATTAGTCCTCTCTTTCTTTCTCTTTCTCTCTCAGTAAGACTTGTGACGTCTAAATATTTTCCACGTGTCACTTTGTTAACATTTGGGGGATTTTTGTGTGAAAAGAAATAAACTCTATGCTTGTCTTGTATAAAAGTTAAGGCAAAGTCATTTTTCAAGTTTAAATAAAATTCAAGTTTCTCAAACACTGGATGGACACTTCCTTTTTTTTTTTTACATTTTGCGTTCAAATAGAGATCTCAATGCATCCCTATGTATTTTCATCTCCCTAAAACAAAAACGTAATGATATTTCTCATGGAATAAACAGCATTGGTTTATAAATACGTGGATATGGTGCATTTTGATTTATTGTTAACTGTTTCCACTGATGTGAGAAAAAAAAAAAAACATCAACCCATCCAAGTGCATCTCAGTCCTTCAAAAAGAAAAGTCCAAAAAAGATATCGATTTTTTTTAAGCAAACTCAAGAACTTGACGTCCAAATCAAAAGCAGCTATGAGAAGGCTTTTTCTTTAACGAAGCCCTCAGATGGGCTGTTTTTCTCTTAGTGGGATTACCCAGAATGCTTCTTGTTGTAGGAAGACTTTAGCGAGACATGCAAGGTCTCACATCGTGTGTTTGTTTCCCTAAAAAACAGATATTGTGTATAGTACAGTGTTTTTTTTGTATGGTTGTTTTGCATCTGTGATAACTTAAGAAGAGATTCAATTCAAGCACTCAAGAGAGGAAACTCTGTCACGCCCCAAAAAAAACCTACTTTTAACTTCTCACAATTGCAGTTTTATGAATCCGGTGTCAATTCAAAACTCATTTTTACCATTTCGCCAGCCAATTCCATTTTTAGACGACAGTAAAAAATGCAAGACTTGGTTGGTTGTCTGCCAAAGTGGCTGCTACAGGAGACAGAGCTCCAAACCAAACCTACAAGTGTCCTCCCTGCCTCTGAATCCTTGCTACTTCACTCTGCAGAGGGATAGATCAGCTTCAAAATCATCCGCTCTATTACATCCCATTGAGCTTGAATGTAAGTGGTTGCACATTCTGTAAGCTCAAACATGTTTGCTTCAAATCCAACTGCTTTTCTCCCCAGAGTGAAGCAGGAAGAACCTCCGAGGTGCTTTTCCGTTAATCTTTTCTACACTTTTTTTTTTATTTGAAAGAAAACTCAGGATAAATCAAAAGTGTGCAAACTTGAAAATAGAAGACAAGGGAGCATGCTGACAGAAAAACCAACGAGCGGTGAAGACTCGACGCTGAGGAAGACGAGGGAACATCTCCACCCCGAGGACGACATTTTACACGACTCAGATTTCCCTGCTGTAAAACCCACCTGCTTTTTTCTGTTCTCTTAAATGTTTAAAGTTCATCTCCGTTCACATGAGCCCCGACGGGACTCCCAACTAAATGCCTTTCACACTTCAACATGGCAAACTACATTCCGCCCCAAAAAACCTCATATTTTACCGTTTGTTATGAGTAAAACTTTCAATCCAGCCGTCTCACTTTTCCCTAATTTTACAAGCAATGAAAATCCTCATTGAGCCAAAATCCAAACCACTGCATGAAATCCTTCAGTTTGAAAAAAAAATCTATATAAAGCATCCGTAAAGCGAGATAAATCTGTAAAGTCATGTGACGCTGCCCATCCTTCACCACAGTGTTCAACAGGCGTCCACAAGGCACAACAACACAAACAAAAACAAGGCGATTGCGTCCACAGAGATGAATTTTCTTTCTGTTCCCTTGACGGTCAGGATCAATTCCCTTTATCTCTCTCTTCACTTGTCTAATAATGCATTTGCCTGCGAGTCTGAGGAAAAAAGACGCCATAACAGTGCAATTAAAGTTCTGTCGATACATTTAAATCAAGTATTTTGTACACACAATATCAGATGAGCTGCTGTAACAGGTTCCAGGATTCGACGTCTAGCACCATATCTAGAGGAAAACACTCGGCTTGCTAAACTCCAGCAGGAAACTCACTTTCTGTCATGTTTCTCAATCAATAACCAATTTCCTTCGTCCTAGTTGCAGCTCACGAGTGTTTCCTCACCTCCAGAGCTTTTTAATCCTCACAACTGGACTTTAAATGTGTGAGCCCTGCCTTTTTCCTTTGACAGTATGTGCCTGATTCCACAGTTTTAAATAGGAAATGAGAGGAGCAGTCGATAAAGCTTGCTCGGTTGTTCCCTAAAAAATGCAATGCCAGGAATATAATCACACACGACGGACACTTTTCAGCCAACTTGCGCCAATGCCTAATTTATATATTCAAGCTTGGTTGCAGATATCAACATGCCCTTCTTGTCTGACGCTTAAAAAAAACAAAAACAAAAAACAGCACTGATATCACATCACGGCCGTTAAGATACAAGCTACAGCTAGCTAGCTAGCAGTGTTAGCAAACAGTAAAAACAACAACACAGCAGATGGAGGTGATTCTTTACAGAGATGCGAGGAAGAAAAGTAACACCCAGCGACATGACCAGGAGTGACTGTACCGATAGTTCACAGGAAATGTTGGAAAAAATACATTTTTTTGTTAATAATTCTGCAAAATAAATCCAGTTTGAGGCGGAAAAAAAGATCAGAGTCTGGTTGTGATTTAAGTCTTGCATACGGATGTGAGTATGTAATAGAAAACTGCTAATTATGACCAATAATTAAGCTACATAAAGTCGCACAACAGTGCCCCTCGACATGCAAACAAACCCCTCTCTCTGCTCACTCTTTCCCGTCATCCACTGGGGGCGGGGGGGGAAACTTCCCACAATGCCCTGCTGCTGCTGCTGCTGCTGCTGCTGCTGCTGCTGCTGCTGCTGCTGCTGCTTTCTTTGCACACAAGACTTTTTAAATGTTTAAATCCCACAAGGCCTTTTGGACTAATGAAAAAAAGACTTGTTTCAGTGTTGTCTGTGCCCGGGGTATAGGCAAAACTGAAATAAAAAAAAGCAAATAAATAGAATAAAAAGAATGAAAAGGTGCTCTACATTGCACAGTAAAGTGCTTTTGTCTGCAAGCCCTGATCCAGAAGAGAAGGCGTCCCCTATCCATGTGACTGATGCTGATTCTGGGATATAAGCATTGAGTAGCCCTGACTTATATTTCCGGTTTTTTTTTTTTTTTTT